TATTATACAATAATTAAGCAATAAGACATTTATTTATTATTTGTATTCCCACTTTGATATATGGCCCTAAATTACCAATTATTGTCCAAGGACTACCATTTTCAAAAATCAGTTACCAAACAGGAGAAGTAGAAATTTACAAAAACTACATAAACCAGTTTGTCATCAAAACTATAAGTATTAAGCAATAAGACATTTATTTATTATTTGTATTCCCACTTTGATATATGGCCCTAAATTATCCATGGGACAATTGGTTTTAAAACTTGTTGTTGTTAACCCTTTAAGCACCAAAGCCAACTTCTGCCACCTTTTACAAAATAAAACCCAAATTTTGATCAGGAGGACCCATAGCTCAAAATTATCCCCAAAATAGTAGAAAATACATAAAAATACCAGTAGACAAAATGATGGCACTCAATTTTAGAGACCTGGAATAGTGTATACTTACTCTGTCTCTGGTAGGTGTTAGAGATCCAAATCTGGAAGGGCTGGATGATCTAATACGCAATGCTCTCAGTAACTCATATTCTCTCTTATAAAAATCTCTTTCATCTTCCAATACCCTTATGATAGTTTCGTAATGAGCAGAACCCTGTGAAATTAAAGTCAGATTACTTTGTGACGGAATAACTACTGGCACCATCAACTTCTCTAAAAAAAATGAATGCATGTTTAATTTGGCTCTTATCATCCCACATAGTAATCAGTCGATTCCAATGTTGTTGTAAAAAAATAAAATTTAGCAGTCAATCAACTGAGAAAGCAAACTATTTTATACTGTATCTGCAAAAATATAATAAATAATTCCTTACCCTGCACCTAGAAGGCGACTTAGCCCTACTAGGACTACTTGAGGTAGAACGTTTACTTGGCGACCCTTTCGTGGGGCTACGACTACGACTTCTACTTCTAGTCGAGGAAGACAGACTTCTATCTTTCAAAATTTTTTGCAGAACTTCGACTTCTCCTTTAAAGTAGTCCCGTTCTTCTTCCAGTTTACGCATAATACCTTCTACTCTGGAAGGTGATTTACTGCGCTTCGTCGGAGACAGACGAAGTCTCTCTAGTTCTAGCACCAATTCACGTTCTATGTTCAAATATATAATAACAATGAAAAGTATGTTCTCCTCAGGAGTTGTGAAAAATACATAGTGTTGTCTCAATTTACAATGGTTCTGGCAATTATTCAGACAGTCAGTTAAATAGCAAGATCGCTTGCAACTTTGCAAAACACTTTGTGTTTGCTTTGTTCTAGACTTGATGGCGCCACTTCACAGAAGGCATTATGTTTGATTCACTATTTCATAAAGTCAACAGGTGAAATAGCCTGCCACATAGCAATTTCAGTTTACACAACTCACATGCCATATGGAGAAAAAGCAACAGGTGGTTGTAAAATAACCTGTCCTTATAGACAGGTGAATAGAGATTTTAGTTTTCAAAACTCACATGCCATATGAAGACAAAGCAACAGGTGGTTGTAAAATAACCTGTCCTTATAGACAGGTGAATAGAGATTTCAGTTTTCACAACTCACTTGTCATATGAAGAGAAAGCAACAGGTGGTTGTAAAATAACCTGTCCTTATAGACAGGTGAATAGAGATTTTAGTTTTCAAAACTCACATGCCATATGAAGACAAAGCAACAGGTGATTGTAAAATAACCTGTCCTTATAGACAGGTGAATGGAGATTTCAGTTTTCACAACTCACTTGTCATATGAAGAGAAAGCAACAGATGGTTGTAAAATAACCTGTCCTTATAGACAGGTGAATAGAGATTTCAGTTTTCATAACTCACTTGCCATATGAAGACAAAGCAACAGGTGATTGTAAAATAACCTGTCCTTATAGACAGGTGAATAGAGATTTTAGTTTTCACAACTCACTTATCATATGAAGAGAAAGCAACAGATGGTTGTAAAATAACCTGTCCTTATAGACAGGTGAATAGAGATTTTAGTTTTCACAACTCACTTGTCATATGAAGAGAAAGCAACAGATGGTTGTAAAATAACCTGTCCTTATAGACAGGTGAATAGAGATTTCAGTTTTCACAACTCACTTGCCATATGAAGACAAAGCAACAGATGGTTGTAAAATAACCTGTCCTTATAGACAGGTGAATAGAGATTTCAGTTTCTATGAAAAACAATTTTGTAACAGCAAGTCACAGCGACTTTCGCAGAATGTTGTTCTCATTAAATTATCAAATTAATAGCTATGAAAATAAAATGATTTACAGTATTAAATTGTCCCATAATTATCTGTACTGATAATATAGTAGGAACCCACATTCTCGGCTGCCAACTAATGTAGTGCACTTTTATTTTTAATATGAAAACCAGTAATTGCTTATTATATATACAATGGAAGACTGAACAACATCTTTTGAGACACTATTTACAGTAGCTGGTAGACATTAGGAACAAGCAGGGATACTCCAAGTAAACACATCAATCTTATCATGACACTTGTTTAACATTTTCACAACCAGTTCCCCCTTTTCATCATGAATTCACAAAATAGTCCCATTTATAGTCTGTACTTTCTTTCAGAAGATTGGAACAAAAATAACAAAATTTGTTGAAT